CGAAACTTGGGAACAAATGGAAACAAAAAGTAAACTACTGCTTAACATCAGGAAGAGACCGTTGGGGTTTTTGGTGAACATGAGGAAATAGAGCTTGGAGAATCTGACACTCACATGACAGTAGGGCAGAGGAAAAAAAAACTCATAACAATCTTAGCATGCTTGTGTAAATGGATGGCGAAACAGGTTATAAGAGAAATGACAGAACAATAAGAGCTTCGACAGGAGAGGAGGTTGTGGAGAGCTCAGCTTTAGAGAGTAATCGTTTTTGGAGCTTTATCTATGTGAATCCACAGTCTTTTGTATTTAGCGTTGTCGCATGTAAAACAAAAAATCATTAAATTTGTTAAATATTTAAAGAACGATGAATTAGCCTGATAATTTCGTCATTAAAATTGGTTCGCAAAAATTACTTTTTTGCCTAATATATAATCTTTATTTACTAAAATATAACAAATAAATTTGATTCTAAATAAATCTATTGCTAGAAAGTGTGCTTTTCTTCGTATTTTATCAGTCCAGCAACAGTTGTTTATCGCGTATACCGAGACCTGGCCGACCCTTAGTGCTCGTGTATTTATCTAGCCTTTGCATTAGTATCCCAATTCGACAGTCCTTTACATATTACTACATCTACCGGGTGTAACAGCAAAATTGTCCATATCGTGTAACAGCAAAATTGTCCATCTCACAAAAAGTTTAATATCTACAAAAGCACTAAACTAATTGAGTTTCTTTTTTCCGGGTTTTCAGATAACACGTTTAGACATCTTGACACCATTTGTCTTAAGAATCAATGAAAACCCGTTGGGTTATTCAGCTGAAAAGTGAACAGGTTAAAATCGTTTTTTGTCAGACCTGCTGTCTTCCCAACTGAGCAATCAATAGAACGGTTAATAAGTTTAAAAAAAAAAGAAAAGATCCAACTCAATCCATAAAACGTTTGGCACGGGAAAGAGAGGAGTTTCAACTATGACAGTCCAAGGATCAGTGAAAAAAGACTTGAAAATGAAATCGTACCTGAAACCTGTGAGGTAGCTTGTTACTCCAGGACAAAAAGTCAGAAGGTTAGAGAGGTCGAGGGTCGTCTTGAATGAGTTGGAAAAATAATCCCGAATAATATATATATATATATATATATATATATATATATATGAACTTTATTCCAATTCTTCATGGGCTTCCGATCCTTAGCTATGATTAATTAATGATAAACATGTCATTTTCGTTTCATTACGATTCTTCTGTTAAGCTTGGAGAGTAATTATAGATTCTTATTGTTCAAAGTAGAATTGAATAGTGTTATTAAAATCTTAGAGAATTCCAGTAAGATATCTTTAATCATTTTTAAGATACAACAATCTAACAATTGGATAATTATACTTTTACACGATTTAGACAATTTTGCCGTTACCCGTTATATTGAGAAAAATGATTTCAGAAATCTTTTACTAAATAAAATTAAGGCGAATGTAACAGCATATGTAAAATATCTAAAAAAAAATATATATATATATTATTTATATTTTACGACACTTGAGGCATTCTAGCAATAAGTAAATCCCTGTGATTTGTCGATATGGAAATCTAGAGCGCTTTGCAATCTTAATTTGATACATTTTAGAGGGAATACGTTGATTCTAATTTGGTGACCTCTACACTTTGTTGAACCTTTTCTATGAAAATCGATCTTTGAGCACTGAAAGTGCCGTGTTGACCTCTGCCACGAGTTTAAAATCGATTCTCAATAAATCGGTAGTTTCTGCATCTAGAATCAGAGTGTAGTATCTGTCCGACTCCCGGCACGACTTCTTGTTTGTATATACGACTCTTACGCCATTCTAGATTGGATCAAAGTGTTGTAACTGTCCGATCTCTAGCCCTGGTATCTGCTCACGCTTTCAGTCGTGATTTTCTGGGATTTAGATGACAAAAGAAACACAGGCACTGAGGGATAATGGAAAGAATAATAATGTTGTCTCTTTTTCCATATTGCCCTTTTAAAGATATATAGACATTTGACACACATACAGAGACACACACATCTGATATCTCCTGAGGAGTCGACGAATGGGTCCATTTACGAACCTCTGGAGTCGGATGCTGGAAGTAACATCAATCAGCTAAGTGACCTTTCAAGACCTAATTTTAAGGGGGTCGCATCATACACGAGATATAAAATTGGCGTATGTACTGATGGCTCTGACTACGTCGTTGACCAAACTATAAATCTATTTCCTGCAGTCAAATTAGCTTCAAAATTATCTCGTATGATACACGAGCATATATAGTAGATAGATAATGAACAGACTGAGATAGATAGATAGATAGATAGATAGATAGATAGATAGGAAGATAGATAGATAGATAGATAGAACAGACCGCAATAGATAGATAGATAGATAGATAGATAGATAGATAGATAGATAGATAATGAACAGACTGCAATAGATAGATAGAAAATGAACAGATTGAGATAGATAGATAGATAGATAGATAGATAGATAGATAGATAGATAGATACATACATACATACATACCGTATATACTCGCGTATTATGCGATTATTTGAAGACCTAATTTTGAAGCGAATTTTAAGGGGGTCGCATCATACATATGATTTAAATTTAGCGTATGTACTGCTGGCCTTGGTTACGCCGTTGACCAAACTATATATCAATTTACTGTAGTCAAAAAGTACAGCTATATTTAAAATAAACATTATTTTGATAAAACTGATGTTTTACTTAACTGTATCCAATACTAATGCATGTAATAGTCACATATTAGTATCGTATTATAAAATACAAACATAACGAATATGCATCTTTTCTATTATTCATGTTTATAAGATGTTTAGCTGTTTCTCGTTCGGTTGTTTATGGCTGGACGCGTTTACGCTTCGAGTATATTTATCATTCTCTTTTATTTTTTGAACTTATTTAACTAGAAAATTGGATAAAGAGATAGAGGAAAAGGGGTTAGTCTATTGTAATTTGGTCTCTCAAAAAAGGAACTCGCTTGATACACGAGATACAAGATAAAATCTTTTACCAATTTTTTCTCCTGAGACCTGAAATAAATGATGGTCTGTCTTAAAATGTTATTGAAAGTTATTTTATAAATACGGGAGTGATACTTATTAATACAAGCATTTGTACTTCAGATAAATATGGATTTCTGTATATTTTTCACACTGTCTACATCACAATGCTTTTCTCAGAGTTCCAACATGTACTGACTTCTATTTCATGATATTTAGCTTAGCTTTTAGAATGCATCTTTCCCTATCAAAATACGCTTTGTCTTTTTTTTTCAGGATGGCATTTCTCATCCTTTGGTAAAACAATTCCTACATATTTTTGTCCTTGTTTGATTTTGGTGTTTCCAATTTCTAGTTGGTATATATTGTCTTCTTTCATTTGATGATTAGTCCTTTCTTCTCCTTTTCTTTATTATCTTCTGTTGGTAAGAGTGTGGTTGCTTAATAATAAATCCTGGTAGGACATCTAGTTCTCTCAGAATAACACGCCCGTCTATATGGGGAAAATTTGAAAGAAAATGGAAATTTAAAGGTTATTTATATTCAGAAAGAGAGTGTTGAATATTCTGGGACACATTAGGAAATATTCAGGACATACTGAAGGGGAAAACAAAGAGTAACTTTCTTAATGGCTTTGAACTCTGACATTTACCGCCACAGATCTCTTAACTGTGATCTTATTGAGAGTCTCTGATAGAAATACTTCTGTAGTACAGGAAGCTGAGTAAAACGAAATGCCCCCTTGTCCAAATTAATGTACTGGTTCCAACGAGAGAAAAGTATGTATATTAAAAAGAAGAGAAGAGAGGTGCCGCAAACGTTTTTGTTTGTAATTTGGATTTATTTAGAAAAAAATACTATGCTTTTGTTTTACATAATTTTACGACACGTGTTTCTGGTCTCGCAACCGTCTTCAGGTAAGAGTGGAGATTTCCACATATTATTAAAAATAATTAATTTTTCCTCATGTTCAATGTTAAATATTCTCGATATGAGACATTCTCTGTTTGTGTGTTGGTAATCCGAATTTCCTTCTTGGACCGTCAATGAAGAGTTCTGCGCGAAGGGTCATAAAACAATTAAGGTTGGTCCAGCGAAATGATAAATTAGTTATCGGCATTTTATCTTTTAATGTTTTTCTGACCCCTATGTGCTCTTGGATCTGTTTCCATTTTGGTGTGTTTCTGTCAGCATGCGTTTATATATGCGTGCGTATATTTCCCCTCCATACATATACAGTCTTACTACGAGGAATTCGTAAACTTATTTGTACCTATACACATACACACACACATACACATACACACTATCCCACCACAAGTAATCAGTACACACACACACACACACACACAAAATATACACACATATTCCCCAAGCCACATGGAACCAGCACACACACACACGCACACACACACACACACACACACACACACACACACACACACACACGTACTTTTAAGTTGTCAACATCCGCATATACATACATAAATGCATGTATACATACATATATATATATCTCCTCGTGTCTCCCATATGAGTGTGGCGTCCCATGTATGTGAGCGACCTGATCACTGTATTTGGTCACCCTGTTATGCATGTTGTGTGTTTTTGTGTGTGGGTTACGATCTATTTAGTTCTAGTTTAAATTTGTCTACAAAAGTTTTTTTTCCTGTATTTGTAGATACGAATATATATATATATATATATATATATATATATATATATATATATATATATATATATATATATATATACGTTTGTGTGTGTGTTTGTGTGTGCGTGTATAGATATTCGTAATAAAATCCACAGAGGAATCTGCAATGTTAATGGTCCTCACCTGACATCCCTGTTTCAGTCACTTTCGCACCATCGTAACGTAGTTCCCGTTTGCCATTCCTATAAGAATTGTAGTCTGCTATTTATAAGACCCATTATTTCCTAAATATTGGTCAGCATTATGTTGCAGGAACCAACTCTTTGCACAGTAAATATTTACGGGCTCCTGGAATCATACACCCTTGGGAAAATTAATTGAAACAAAACGAATAATTCCGTTACTATTTACTTTTTCGTTTTTTTTTTTTTCAAATGAAACATCATCCATTGCACATGTTCGTAATTCGTATGTCCATTCCACGAAGTCTTTCAGATTGATCACAAATTCTCGACTGGATTTAAATCAGGAGAGTTTCCGCGCCATTACTTTGATTTGGTAAGGCTTCCTAGTGTGTTCGTGCAGTCTTACTTTTTTCGTATTCATCGCAGACAATGGCCGTAGGACAACTAATCGGCAGTCGAGACAATAGTGTCTGGGTGTGATAAAAATCTGATGCAATCATGGATGATGCAATATTTTTCAAGGCTAAACAAATTTCATCATATACCCCAAAAATAGATTTACATTAATGCAAACCACTGCAAATAACCTAATTTGAGGAAAAATAGAAATCGATTACACTCTGTCACTCCAGTGGGCCTAACTCTCACCGTATAGTGAAAGAAAAGAAAGAGATTGTTTCAAGTAATTATCACAAGGGTGTAGCTTGCTTTGAAACGTTTAAATGAACACTTTTTGTCTTTCGTTAGTATGACTGATGCTAACCTCCATGAGAATGACTCATCATAACTTTCGGGCTAATATTTTCAGTTGACATGAAATAGAAATATTATATTGAATTAATTCTCTCCTCAATATTTCATGTGTGTAATGTATGTCCCAGTGAAATGAAAAAAATTACCAATTTAAAAACTTTTCATTTGTACCATGTTACTTATTTAAATAATGACCTGCATTAATACCTATGGCTGTTAAAATTATTAAGCATACATTATATCCGGTAGAAAGGCCTCTGCTTTAGAAGCGTGGAACCATCTCTTAAGTGATGTTCTTCCCACGTCCAGCTTGAATTGGGGTGGTAGCACCTGTTAGGGTCCCAGCTATGGGCAAATAGTGAAAAATTAAACTAGAATCTAAAAAAACTATGAAAGTATAAAAATACATCTTTATAGTAAAAAATTCTTGTAATAGATTTTATTGTAAAAAAAAAAAAATTACAAATTTCCCCCTCAAAAGGAATTTCGTCATTAAATGACGCATAAAGAGTTGATATGCCGTTAAATAAATCAAACCAAAACAAATTACGCAAATTGGAAAACCCGGGAAATTTTCACAGGTATTGAAAATGCACCCACATAAAAAATATATATATATATATATATATATATATATATATATATATATATATATATATATATATAATATATTCTGTAGTTCTTAAATCAACACTCAGAGGCGACAGGCTGTTTCATGCTAGGCGCAATCGTCTGGCGGTCTGACGATTGTATCTAGCATGAAACATCCTGTCACCTCTGAGTGTTGATTTCAATGTTCACTTTCATATTTCTATTTACATAGGCTCTATCTCTGATATTGAGCACTTTATCCCATAAATATACCACGCCTTAAAACTATATTTCTTCATGTAGAATAGATAAGTTGGTTAATTATACAAAGTCAAACGAAAGGGTACCGATGAATATGAAGCACGGAGTGTGTGGTTCCCAGTTCGGATTTTTCTGACACGCCTGTGTTCTTTGTCAGCGGATGCGAGAAATAAACAGAGAAACGGTGGAAACTATCTAACATTAGTTTTTTGGGGAGGGTAGATTCCCCTTATAGGTAGAATCATTAGAAAAAAATCCGTTTCCTGTTTGATTTCTCGTTGTGCGAATCTTAATGTTTTCTAATCTCTCTCTTTCTCTTCATATATATATATATATATATATATATATATATATATATATATATATATATATAAAACGTATGCTTCATTTATGGTTTAAAAGGGCTAAATATCAAGGATAGAGCGTATGCATATATATATATATATATATATATATATATATATATTTATATTTTTATGCAAAAGTGAAAAACCGCAATATAATCCGGGTGGATCCTAGTAATATTAGCTATTAAAACTGATCCACAGAGAGGTCCATGTATTTATTATAACAGAGTATATGTATTTTAAAGAGCATATGTATGCATGAAGAGAGCTTATTATACCAAAACACAGAGAATATGATTTACATTAAAGGAAAAACTCAATACATCATTAATGATTTCAGTAATTATTTATTTCAGACAGACAACTGACATATGAGACCGGAGTTATAAAATGGTTTAAATTGTCAAGGCAATTTATTAAAATTAATATCAGTTTTTCATATCTATCAATCTAGCTAGTTCGCTAGCTCAGGTTTTTCATATCTACCTATCTATCACAGTTTATTCATATCTATCTATCTATCTATCTATCTATCTCTAACAGTCTGTTCATATGTATCTATCTATCTAAGACTCTCTCTCTCTCTTTCTCTCTCTCTCTCTCTCTCTATATATATATATATATATATATATATATATATAATCTCTCTCTGTTTCTCTCACCCGCTCTCGCTCTTTTAGTATAATCATTACTATCTTTATATTTTGTATGTTCATATCTATCTATCTATCTATCTATCTATCTATCTATCTATCTATCTATCTATCACAGTCTGTTCCTATCCGTCTGTCTATCTAAATCTCTCTTTCTCTCTATGTATATATATATATATATATATATATATATATTCCTCTCTCTGTTTCGCTCATTCGCTCTCGCTATTTCAGCATAATCATTACTGTCTATCACAGTCTGCTCATATCTATCTATCTTTTTCAGTCTGCTCATATCTATCTATCTATCTATCTATCTATCTATCTATCTATCTATCTATCTATCTATCTCAGTCTGTTCATTTTCTATCTATCTATCTATCTATCTATCTATCTATCTATCTCAGTCTGTTCATATCTATCTATCTGTCTATCTCAGTCTTTTTGTATCTATTTATCTATCATTGTTATTTTTATTATTCTTAAAATCTCTTTTTCTACTACTTAATGTTTTTTTTACTTATTATTTGAACAGCCTTCGTGCCAGCGTCTCAGATCTCGACCCGCCATTCGTTGGTGTTCTCTTGCGAAAGTTCCACCTAGGGTGCTCCTTCCCCAAAACTGTTACATTCCCAGCATAGCAACTAGAATCACTTTAATTCCAGGATTAACTGATATCTATATCTGCCTCATAATTTTCTCTTTAATCCCCTTCTTTTGAAACAATCTCACATACTAACGCTCTAGAGTGACTCTTGGGCCTTTTATTGGGTAATCTAATAATAAAAAAATATGTAAGGAAAATATTATTTATATATTTTGTAACTTTCACTGGGAAGCGTTCTCCTGCTGAATTGTCCGTGTTTTCCTTCTCTTTGTCTAGTTGCCATCGAGAGGCCAGCCAATCCTCTTATTTAATCCATAGCTTGGGGGCGGTTGGAAGGATTTCGACTTTTCTAAAGGACATCTGTGTGAGAGTGAACGCCACTGACTAACCCAGAAATTGAAACCGGTATGTTGATTCTAGTTTCAACGCTGACAGCCTTTACATGACTGTTGCATTAACTTCTATAAACTTGACATTGAATATATATATATATATATATATATATATATATATATATATATATATATATATATATTTTTTTATGTGCCATGTCCTTTCAGGACGTAGGTGATCATAGTTCTCCACCCTTCCCCTATCCCTTGTAGCTCTCAATAAGTTTCCTCCCCTCTGCCACCTCCCCCAGACCACCTTCTGTCATCCACTTGCTTAAGCCCACTAGGTATATCATGCGTTGTTTTCCCTTTCGTCTCTTTCTTTCTATTCGACCCGTGAGTATCAGATTCTCTAAGCCCTCCTTCTTCATTATGTGTCCCAGGAACTTCATCTGGATCCTCCTTGTTTACATCTTCTCTAAGGCCACATCGTTGCTCACACGCTCGGTCCATGATATCCTTAGCATCCTTCTGTAGAACCACATCTCCGTCGCCTCGAGTCTCTTCTTAATCTTTGAGGAAATCGTCCAACATTCGCTGCCATCAAGAAGGACAGCTGTCACGTAACATCCTCAGTATTCTTTTGTTTGTTACCAAAGAAGTCCTCCTGTCTCGCAATACTCTGGTCAGCTTTTGAAATGCGTTCTTGGCCATCGCAATACGTCTACGGATACCAGTGTCGCACTTACAGTCCTCTGTCAAAACGCTTCCAAGCCCGCATCGTTGCTCACATGCTTGCTCCATGATACCCTTAGCATCCTTCTGTAGAAGCCCATCTCCATCTTCGAGGAGGCCGTCCAACATTCTCTGCCACAAAGAAGGGTATATATCACGTATCAGTTCAGTATTCTTTTGTTTGTTACCAAAGAAATCCTCCTGTCTCGCAATACTCTGCCCAGCTTTTGGAATGAATCCTTGGCCATCGCAATACGTCTACGGATCCCAGTGTCGCATTTACCGTGTCCTCTGTCAAATGTCTTTCAAGGGGCTTAAATAACGAAGACAGACGTTAATATACCGGGTAAGGGAAGGTGGAGGGATAGGAAGGAAAAGAGGCGAGTATCAGAATCTCCAGGCCCGCCTTCCTCATTATGTGTCCCAGAAACTTCAGCTGCCTCTTCCTGATGTTAAATATAAGCTTCCTTCTTGTTTGTATCCTATCTAAGACTTAATCGTTGCTCACACGCTACGTCCATGTTATCCTTAGCATCCTTCTGTAGAACATCATCTTCGTCGCCTCGAGTCTGTTCTTCATAAAAAATCTGCCCAGCTTTTGGAATGCGACCTTAGTCATCCCAATACGTCTACGGATCTCAGTGATATTAATTCATTTATAATAGTGCTTAAAATGAGCCATATTTATAGAGGAATGGTGCTCAATATCAGAGATAGAGCGTCTGTCGAATTAAACATTGTGGACATAAAAATCAACAGTGCATGGTGTTTTCAAGTGCAAACTTCAAAGTGATAATCAAGCCATCAGATTACCAATAAAATACAAAAATATATAATTATATATGCTAAGTATAGGCCTTGTTCTTATTTGCAACCTCTCTAAGACCTCATCATTGTTCACACGCTCGGTCCATGATATCCTTAGCATCCTTCTGTAGAACAACATCTACGTCGCCTCGAGTCTCTTCTTCATCTTTGAGGAAATCGTCCAACATTCGCTGCCATAAAGAAGGACAGCTGTCACATAACAGCTCAGTATTCTTTTCTTTGTTACCAAAGATATCCTTCTGTCTTGCAATACTCTGCCCAGCTTTTGGAATGAGTCCTTGGCCATCCCAATATGTCTACGGTTCTCAATGTCACACTCTGTCAAAATACTTCCCAGATATTTAAACTTCCGCGTTTGCTTGATTCTAGTGTTCCCGACCAGCAAATCGTATTTTGGGGTCATCCTTTTATTGATGGCTATGCTTTCTGTCTTCTTGTAGTTTATGCTTAGTCCTTTCTTCACACTCTCCGTCGCTACCTTCTGTAATACTTATCTGTATTAAATGATTCATTGCATCTGTGGTGGATTTTATATCATGAAAGACAAGTTTCTTTAGAATTTAGTTTTTATTTCACGTACCGATATTTTCTCTGGTGGGATCTTTAATGTAATTGTTGCATTTTCCCTTTTCATTAAAT